GGCGGCGCCAACGGGGTGTCAGGGGGGGCTTAAGCCCCCACCGGACAAGTCAAGCCCCCTCCCCCCTGCTGGACAGAGCTCGTCCGGCAGTCAGACCATAAAACATGGTCATAAAAATAGGCCCACACCAAGCCAACACATGTCTGTCACAGTCTGAGAGTGTCATTTTCGGCCATCCAGAGGTTGATATTTTTTTAAAATAATCTCATTTGGGAGGGGTACCCCCTCTCAACCCCTTCCTCCAGCTCGAGCCTACGAGCTCAAGTCCCCCTGTCGGACAACTTAGCCTCCCCAGAAAATCTATCCTAGAGCCGTCACTGCGTACATAGTGTGTGTAGGCCTATTATGAAGGTCATGTTTGAACGCGTTTCTGCAGATGTCATTGCATTAGAGATACTTAAGGTCAATGAATTACCTTCTGAAGCACGGCAGCAAAACCTGTCAAAAAATTGATCAATTTCTACCATAATTCGGACAACTACTGTATCACTTTAAAAGTTGTTTTTTATTGATTTTTAGGCAGTTTTCTACTCTTGATTGGTAATATTTTAATTATTTTTGCATCCCTGTGGTCCTGTGTTGTTCCGTGTGGTCCGTGTGGTGTTTTAGTAGCACCCATTGTTTGTATTCGGATTCCCACCATGCATTTCGGTGGAACAGTTTTTTGCTGTGGAGAACTCTATCTTGTGTTTCTAGTATCTTTGCTGAAAGTATGTATAGTCTAGTTATCTTTATTTTTGTTGTGTCAAAAATATGAAAGCTACGTGGATGAAATTCACATGGCATAGACCTAGTTAAATATATTAGAAATTGACAAAAAATTTAAAAATTTAAGGATTTGACATGTCGACAAGGACGCGAAGCCCCACCCGCAAAGTCACAAAAACCTTAGACAATGGCAGCTAGACTTACCGAGTTGGCGAACATTTTCTTGTGCTATCAACCTTCTTTAAGAATGAGAATTCAGGGTGGGCGGTATGCAAATGAATCTTATATTCGTAGTGTTAATCTATTTCATGGAACAGGCTGGGAAATTGTTGTAAAAGCCTCTGTATTTTGCTCCCACAACAAAACACATTTTTCAGGATATATAGTATGCAATTCATTCGATTGTCTTGATACTACTCGTAGGCAGTATATTTCTTTATAATGTTTAATAAACATTGCCATAATGATTACTTGCCGAGTACTGTAATTATTCCATTCATTCAAAAAAACCCAAAACGTTGGTCAAAGTTAGCTCATCACCAAGTGGTAAACAGAAAATACATGCCTATCAAAGTCCTTCGTACCGGTAGAGACGATGTCGTCACACTCTTTCACTTTCTTGGCCTAGCCTACTTTCACTTGTTAACATCCAAAGAGAAAAGATCGTCAATATTTGTAATAATTTTTCAGTCTTTCAATTCAGCTTATGCTGCAATAGACTGTTTTGTATGTGCGATTCTTTTTTTGCAAAAAATATACCTAAATATGTAAATGAATTTAAACATTTTTTAAATATATTTTCTTGGATTTTTATTTTTTCTGTTGATATTATATATAGTGCCATAAGAATAGCTTTCATATTTTTAGCACAACAAAAATAAAGATAACCAGTATACTGATTTCATTTTTGCTATTCTAGCAAATTTTTATGCCAACCGAGGTCGTGCACCACCAGCGTTTCAGCCAGGCCAATTATATTAGGTCCATGGTATAATTAGGAAAGTACCAGTTATTACTCTCGCCTCTCCAAAGAAGAGGTGAAGGGTATTAAAAAGCGCGCATGTGTGTGTCTGTGTGTATGTGCCCTTCCGGGTGCATAACTCAAAACTACTAGATCGATTTTACTTCAAATTTTCACACATTTGACACTGTTACATGTACATTATCTCAGTCCTCCTCGAATTTAAGAATTAAGATGCAGATTTTAGAATGTTATCACTCACCCTTAGTTTTCGACCTTTACTTATAGACGAATCCAATAGAACTTTTTTGAATGTCGCCCTCTTTTGTCGACGTCATTACTGGGGTGGCATTTCCAAAGTTGGAAGATGTCTAAATACACAAAATATACATAACTTGAATAATTGTTTAGTTTGAAGACTGACAGCATTATTCATCTGCAAAATAAAAAGCCAGATTTCTTAATGGTACTGTGTTTATAACCACACCACATTGACATTTTAGGAGTAGGTGTGGGACTCTCCAGTAATGGTGTCGACAACAGAGGGCGCCATTCTTCTTGGATTCATCTATATCAAAATTGTTTTTCCTCTGGTGCCTGGCTTTAATTAAAAACTTTAATTAAAATCTTTGCTTTAGATTATGAATAATATGGCACCAGGTAGAAAAACAGCAGCCAAATGGGAGAAGGTGCTTTACAAGAAACAAGATTTTCCAGATAACTATGTTGACAAGAGTTTCCTACATGAAATGAAGAAAAATGGTGAGCTTCAGTACTCAGTAGAAGACATAAATATTTTAAAAGCTTGGCTCTCAAAATTTTCATGAAATACTTTACTTCAGTAAGCAAAAGAGTGATAGTAGCAACGTAGGTTTAATAACTAAGGTTCAAAAAAACTTTATTGTCCCATTTCAAACATTTTTCTTTCCTTTGAAATAGCTGAGTTTAAATATAGAAAGGATAAATTACATAAAAATTTCAAGATGAATTAACTTGGTAATTACAAATGGCACAAGAAGATTTTATTCGGGTACTGGAGCTGCTATAAATAATTATATTTATATTTGCTCTCTCCACAGAACATTTTTCAATGATAAAATAATTGTGTTAAGATATTAAAACAAGCTGTATTAAAGTAGTTAAAACTTTGTTCCGATATCAGATTGGATGTTTGTAATATTCTATAAAATTGAAAGAGCTGCTATAAATGAACATAAATATTTGCTTTCTACACAGAATATTTTTCAAGCATCAGCTCAAGTGTTTTTATTTTTATTACAATTAGTTTAATTTCAGTTTAATGAGTTTGAAAAATAATCAGAAAAAAATACATTGCAGACAATTAGGCAACAAATAAGTGAGATATTGCCTATCTCAAAACCTTAAATGAATAATAATAATGTTGTTATCATTACCTACCTTTATTGAATTATGTCAGACATTTACATTTTGATTGTTGTACTGCCTTGCGTCTGCATCTATAAGACAAGACAGTGCTACACTGTGACTATTGTCACTGAAGCAATGTTCATGTTAGTTTGATGGAGTATTGTGGCTTGATGTTTCCTGGGGTCCATTAATATTGTTGTAAACACAAAGTATTTGGTCGAAGATGCTGTTTCATTTGGAAGAAATCAGGGTTTTGGGGTCGCGACTTTTGATGCTTATTGGCTGTGTCCGATCTGCCATTGTCAGGTTTTTATTTCATTTTGTGACTTCTTTTAAATATATCTTCACAGTGAACATTAAGACATATGAGTACTGGAATGTTGTATTGGAAACAGGGATGGTAACACAGCAACTGAGCAGGTATATGGAAAATGTAAATTTATCTTTTTAAAGGTTTTTTTAAAGTTTAAAACATTAAATAAGGAAAATGGTGGTAAAGTATTAGGGCTGCATTTGCAGAATGTTTTAGTAAGGAATTATTCAGAAATGACAGTCAAAACTGGGGAATGTTCCCCTCCGTCCTTCAAATGACACACTAATATTAAACTTAGCCATTAAATGTCAGCCTTTGTCATTTTTATTGTGGTTTATGGTTGCTAATGAAACAGATAAAAAGGAAGGTAAATAATTATAAAAACCAAATTATCATAATCACCATCATCATGTAATCGTAAATTTTATCAATACCTTCATAATCATCAACCTAATTATAAACCATCATTATCACCTTCACATTTATCTTCATAGTTAATAATAACATTAATCATCATCACATAGTTAAAGATATTGAAGACAAATGAATACTGTAATTGCCATCATGGTATGCATTTGTGCAGTGCTTTAATTGAGTTCCTTACAAAATGTTTTCATTAATTTAATTGTTTTTTTTTTTTTACAGTGTGTCAATATTTGTTGTGCTATTCATCTATATGGACTTTGGATTACTAAATCCAGGTTCTATGGTTCTAGTATCTGCTGCACTTTTGCTGCTTGGCTATGCATTGTTTATTGCCACTGATAAGACAAGAAAAATCTCAGGTATTTTGAATGGCTAATCTTCAAGTAGTGTGATGTTTAAACGTGGACTGACACCAGATCCGAGAATGGACTTTATCAACTAGATCGGACTCTCAGGTGCTGGGTATTTTTCAGCCAAGTTAGACCCTGGGTGTTGAAATTTTAACCTGTGGTTAGATGCCTTAAGGTTGGATTTTTTTGCATACAGTATGTTGTGCTCTACGAAATTAGACCCCATCCAAATGTTGGATTTTAACTAATGAGTTTTACCTCAGGTCGGACTTTTCTAATTGTTAAGATCCTGGTTTCGGACTATCTTTTTTGTTTTTATCCCAATGTGTTTCATTTTTCTCTTAGTTAGACCCTGTGGGTCGAGCTTTTTGCGGTTTACATCATTGGGAATTATCAAACAATACTGTCATTAATGGATGATGATGTCTCTGTATGTTTTAATGACATTTCTAGGGATTATACAGTAGGACTTTAATGTTTGTATTTCTTTTACCTTTACCAGCTAAACAAGACATTCAAGTGATGCTCATCTTTTTGACCTTTGCACTTGGCTTGTCTCCCGTTCTTCAGACACTAACTGAAACTATTAGTACAGACACAATTTATGCTATGACAGTAAGTATGTGTATTCCTATTGAGAATCTGTATACATTTATTCTTTCATGTTCAGGTTTATATTTTATATGTTGAAAAGTAACATAACATGTATTTTTTCCCTTGGATATTAGATATAAATCAATCATATAGGCATCCTCCACTCTTTGAAAAGCGCATGTAAATGCTGTATATTTACTGTGCCATAATTGAAATAAGTACTAATTTATTTAAATTGACCTGCTCCGGGTTTATTTTTTTAAAATTAATATAACAACATAACATAATGCAGAAGGTACATTAAATACAATAATATGAATATACAGGGGCGGATTTAGGGGGGGGGGGGTGCCGGCCCAGCCCTGCCCCCCCTCCCCTTTTGAGAGGTAAAAAACAAGAGAAAAAAAAGAAAAAAAGAATTGAAAAGAAAACGATAGCCCAGAACGCCTCAAATGTTATTTTCGGGCGTCTAAAAAACAGAAATTTCGCAGGAGCATGCCCCCGGACCTCCTTTCGGCGCCCCCTCACCCTTTGGACATCTCTGGATCCACCCCTGATATAAATCATAGAGTATGTTATTTTTTGTCATTACTCTTTCAAATAGACACAAGTTAAAAAAAACATTTTTTTACTTCCCTTATCTTTTTTTCTTTCTTTTTCCTTTCTTATACATTAAAAGCAAAAAACCTACATTATAACTTCATTATATTCACTATTACCTTTTTTAAATAAAAAATAATAACATATTAAAATCATAATACATATGATACATTACTCCTGGTTTCTTCACTCTGATTTATTAATATTTTTAGTGATTTGTCATAAAAATCAATTGCTAAGTAATTATTTTCAATTTTAAAATGTTACAATCACTTTGATCATGGACCTATTAATAAGAAGGACATACAACGATTTCCAGCTAGCGTAACTAATTAGCCTTCAGCCAATCAGCGATAAGCGGTATTTGGAAACTTCAAAGCGTTTTCTTATCGCAGCCCGCTCTCTCTCAAGCGCCTTTGAATTAACTCATCTTTTCCGCCTATAGGACACCCTCTATCGGTGAATATCGAACGAGTGGAGCAACAAATCTTACTGACGTCATTAGTTTGGGTCCATTTGAGAATGAATTTGACATATTAGGTGACCTTTAGTGTTAGGTTTTTGTGTGCGGTGGATCGAAGATTTTTCGTAGCTACAAGTACCAAAAAACCGAATTTGAATACGACTTTTTGTTGAAAAGTTACTGAGATTCGAAGGTAAGATTATTTAGTTTGTTTGTGATCGATTTTTCTAGAAAAAAATGAGAATTTGGTGCCATTTAAATGCATTTTTA